GACAAAATGTAACAGGTCTGGTCCAGCTGTCTTCGAAACACATCAAACGGTTACCCCAGGTTCACATGTAACAAAGAAATTAGATGGTAAAATACTGCTCGCTGTTCTCCTGCAGCAGTTCCAAGGTAACTATGCCATTCACAATGAAAAAGTAATAATAAACTGTTATTGCTTACAATATTATTCTCAGTTCAGTCCCCGTTTTACCCTTGCCAAAGTACGTCTCCGTTTTGGTCTGCATTTTTTGCTGTTCCGAGATAGAAGGATGTTCTGAAACGAAAAGTCAGATATTAACAGAAAGAAAGGTAAATGATTCACTCCCAAACAAACAAACAAAAATAAACAAACAAACAAACAAACAAACAAACAAACAAACAAACAAACAAAAACCGAAAACAACAACAGCAAAATAAAACCAACACGAGCGAAATGACACAATCAGAAACATTATTCGAGGTCTCTCTCTCTCTCTCTCTCTCTCTCTCTCTCTCTCTCTCTCTCTCTCTCTCTCTCTCTCTCTCTCTTTTCCTCTTTCTCTCCGTAGCGGATCTGGCCATGAACAATAGCTCTCCTTGTATTTTCTAATGATGATAATCTTAGTATAAATATAACGAGCTAAGCCAGTTTGTGAGGTCTGTATACATTTTTTACATCGGTGCTAGTAAAATCTACAAAAGTATGATTCAGTTAAGAATTGCTACAAAGGGTTATGTTACTTTTGTTTGTTTTTTCAGGTTCGATTGGTTTTCCTAGAAATCGAAGCTCTCAAGTGCAGCTGCTTCCACTGGCCCATGGAATATTAGTTAATAAAGCTATTAATGTAGTGTACTAGTGCAAAATATACTTCTAAAATAATAGAAATGTATTTTCAAAATATAATATACTACGAAGAACAGTAAGACTACTGAGGAACAAGCTTCCAAGAGACGCAGACATCACAACACCATCGAAATTGCCGCAAAGGAGGCTTGTTGCATAATAATTAATCAATTAGGCAAAATAAATACTATCAATTGTCGACCCTCCAAATTTCAGGACTATCAAAAGTCGTTTCCTACCGTTCTTTTGGATCGTTTAACAGACGGCTACTCTGTTTTTCACAAAATCAAGTTACTAACAGAATTTGAAGTGGTAGGCCTATATTGCAATGAAACATTCAAACCTGCTCAGTGTCATATAATCCGGGCCTTTATTCAACTCTGAAGGACTACAAACTCGACAAAACCCTTGAGAAATATGCAAAAATCCTAGAAATCGCACTGACGTTTATGTCGATCAACTTGGACAGCGTCCTCAACCTCGTCAATAGAAAAAGGAACCCCTTTGATGCAGCAAAAGAACGAATGGTAGACTTCCTCTTTAAATAGATTTTTCTCTTAACATGTAGGATGATGAATACATCTCATTTACCATGCCCCTGACTATCTTCACCCTGCTTTAAGTTCATTGTGTACGCCAACTTTTTAGACCCACGAGCCGCCCATGGCTTCAATCCAACCTTCAAAACCCAGGGCGAGCCGTACCACCGAGTAGGAAAATTTCTTCCCACTGCTGGAACTGAAACAAAGTTTGCACATATTTTTTATGCCTCTGCCTCAGGAATTCAGAAAAGGCTGAGTCTGTCAGATATTTTATGGTCATACATTTTGAATGAACTTCAAGCTTGCCTTCACAATGTCAATTCATACGCAAAATCTTTCAAGTCATCAATTGAAGTGTGCACAGAAGACGCAAAAAAATTGAACCAAGGTTCCCTCAAGAAATGGACACACCAGAACATTTGAAATCCACTGTAAATACCCACTGGTAGAAAAGTTGCCCTGTCACCTTCCAAATCGACAACAAATTTGATCAAGCCTAAAGATATTCAGCAAGTTATTGGTAAAGGAACCCTAGCAACAAAATAGACTGATTTTTTCAATATGAATTCAGAAGACCCAACAACAAGAAACATAATCTATCCACATTTTCCTCACTATTTCACTTGGAATGACAAAGACTAGAAGTGGTAGAGAAGGAAACAAAGTGTGAGAAACCCAGATAACCCAGAGTAATGTAGAACTGGTTGCTGTATCGCTCAGTCCACACCAGGCAGAGCTCCACTTCTTGCGACTTTTACCTCACCACAGGCCTCCAGCAACCAGTTCTGAAGATCTAAAGACAATATTTGGGTCAAGTTACCCATCTTTTCCGGACGCATGCAAACAACTTGGACGGCTCGATGATGACACTGAGAAGGATGCATCAATGCAAGAAGAATCTTCGATAAGATGCCTTTACAATCATTCTCACATATTGCTGCTTTGCTGATCCTCTCTTATTTTGGCACAAGCACAAATTGGAGCTCTGCAGGGACATCATGATGAGAAAGAAGATCATAGAGTTGAATCTGCAGATTGAGAACCAAGTGTTACTACAACTTCAGCACATTCTTGATAATGATGGGTTGGATCTACATCAAGATTTTCAGCTGCCACCTGCAGAACATAGTCACGTTGAGGGAGAACAACCAAGAATTGTTCACGAGGAGTTGAATTTTGACACAAATAACCTGAGAGAGAAGGTCAGTCAAGAGTACCCAAAGTTTATTGAAGAACAAAGAGCTATGTATGATGCTGTGATAGAGTCAGTGGTACAGAAGCACGGCAAGATATATGCCCTATAGGCGCGGGGAGGGGGGGGGACTGGGAAAACCCACGCTATAAAGCTGATTCTTGCGGCTGTCCGTTCCTTTAAGAAAATTGCCTTTTCTACATTTCAAACATTGCAGCAACTCTGCTCTGAAATGGCAGAACATGACATAGCAGATACAAAATACCCCTGTGTGAACGAACAGTACATGTGTAGTGTGAGTCCCCGAGATGCCAGTGGCATTATATTATGTCAAACACAGCTGTTCATCATTGATGAAGTATCGATGGGCCACAAACACATCTTTGAAGCCGTAGACCGAGCACTTCAAGATATAATTATGTTGGAATTACTCTCTTTTCGGTGAGCTAACCGTGTTGATGTCAGGTGACTGGTGCCAAATACTATCAGAGTAGTTAGCCATGGCTCAAGATTACAGATAGTCATAGCAACTCTGAAATCATCATATCTATGGGAGAATGTTAATGTGCTCAGACTGACAAAAAACATGAGAGTTTTTCTTACAGGTGAGACTGCTGATTTTTCCAACTACCTTCTGAACACTGGTGATAAACACAACGTATGCACGTAAATCGGGGGGTTTGCAATAAACTGCCAGATGGCATCACAGTGAACAGCAAACGAGATAGATGATAAATTGTCTTCGGTAACTTGCAGTCTAACACAGATCCTGCCTGGCTGGCTTCCCGCTGCACCATCTGCCCAACCAACACAGAAGTAGACAGAATCAACAACTTGATCATGCAAACCTTTCCCGGAGAAGAAAAAGTTTACAGGAGCAGTGATTCGGTGGAAGAAAAGAACACCAATACAACACCGAATTTATGAATTCTCTATGTCCGTCAGGTATGCCACCCCGCTAACTGACATTGCGGAAAGACAGCATTGTCATGTTGCTGAGAAATCTGGACCCCACAAACGGCCACAGCAACGGGACTCGATATGTGGTTCAACACCTTCAGCAACATGAAAGTGATGTCGTCGCTTGCGGTCAACTTGCTGGAAAGAGACTTTTTATCTCAAGGATTCCCCTCATGCCTTCAGATAACAAATTATTTCCCTTCCATATGCGACGGCAACAATTTCCGGTTAGACCTGCTTTTGCAGTGACTGCCAACATAGCTCAGGGACAGGCTTTGAAAAGATAGGGGTTTCTTTACAGGGCGATTTTTTTCCCATGGGCCATTGTATGTCGCTATGCGCTTTACAATATTTTATTAGCACAACCCTTGCATACCATAGAACACTCAGAAACATTCTCAGCTAGATCTATGAACTTAATATATGAACATATATTTTTCGCATGACCTAGTTAATTTCTGGATTAACAAAATAACCAATACAACACCAGCTTAAGTGTAAACATGACAAAGTTTCCAATACATTGCATCCCGGGCGTTTATGGTCTGGCGCCTCTCTTGTGGTGGGCAAAATCTGAATAATCTATCCGGATGACCGGATAATTCTGAATGATACATTATCTGAACTCAGACTTTTGAACTCCCTTTAAAATAACCCGTTTGCCGAAGTGGGGGCACCCATTTGATGAGGTGGTTTTAAACCATCGAAGTGGTTCTAGCCCATTTGCGGAAGCGGTTCATAACAGAATATCCGGATTTTGCTAAAGCAACTCATTGCCCAGGCCTACTCCTCGCCGTACATGCAGAAGACGTGAAGGTTGATTCCTTTGTAGGGAAGTTGTTTTTTTTGGGATTGGCCTTGCATTTCTACTGGGAATCTGTATTCCACCCCCCCCCCCCAACCCGGGTTGGCCTCGACACTCAGGGGGGAAACTGTCCGCCTCTAAGATGATCTAAAATAGGTCGATTAGAGTGCAAACTATTTCCAAGAAAATAAGTGAGCATGGCAGTCGCTCTGAAACATTTGGTTGAAATCTTAGCCTTCGCACTGACAATCCCCGCGGGGTCCAAATTTTTCTTGTCTTCCCTGAGATATTTAGCTCTCTGTGGTTACGGTGGTTCTTCAAGACAAGCTGTTTTGTGTGCCGGACTGTGTTGATTTTCAATAACAAGACAACACACCAATAGCAGCAGCAACAAAAAGGAAATAACAGCAACCATCACCAGCAACAGCTACAACAACAACATCAAAAACAACAACAACCATCGTCAGCAACAGCTACAACAACGACAACATTAACAGTAACAACTACAACAACAAAAACAACAACAACAACAACAACAGCAACAACAACTTCAACGAGGTCGACAACAACAACACTAAAGAAAAAAAAAAGATAAAGATAGTTAATCTCGAATGGAAGATAATATGTCAAAATACTCCATTTTTTCTCACGGTCAACACACAGGAAAGAACAAAACATGAGGTGTGATTGATGGGTTTTTTTATTAATCAGATTTGTAGAAATGGAGGTAAATATAATATTCTAAAAAAATCAAACGAAAACAAAACAGAATATGCATGAAAGAATAAGAATAATGTTATTTGGGATAATTTTTGTAACTGAACAAACAGGCCTCAATGCTTTCACACAAACAACAGTTGATACGTAAGCGTACGTGAATTACAAAGAACTAATTTTCCGTCCAGTGTTTTCAGGCTATGCTGATTAACAGCATTCCTTGTATTGAATAAAACAAACAAACATACAATGGAGACGTCAGGTAGAGGTGATTTTTGTGACAGTCAAACGTCCATTAAGTGTGGTTAACTAATTCTTTTTCGAAATAATTCTGTTGTAGTTAAATTTAGACTAATTATTTGAATTCTAGTGAAGGCGGCCCACGGGTCAGCTAGCACGGGATGTCGCAATGACGTGCCGGGTTCCTTTATGGGTTCTGGAGCAGGTTGCTGAATTGGTTTCCGCATCCCTCGTAAACGTTGAACTGTAGGGAGATAACAACCAAGAGAATAAGAATGACGAAGTAGTTTTTCTGTCTGTCTGTCTGTTTGTCTGAGTGTGTGTGTGAGTGTGTGTGTCTGTGTGTCTGTCTGTCTGTCTGTGACTCTTTTTCTTTTATTCTATCTATCTATCTATCTATCTATCTATCTATCTATCTATCTATCTATCTATCTATCCTTATAACACCAGATCTCCTCAAACTTATCTAGTTTTAATTTTGAAGATATTACACTCCAGGAAACAATTCCGAGCGTAGGCAAAATATGACGTTTATGTCTTACCTCGCGGATGACACCGTCAAGACCTCCTCCGATCGTCAGGCCACAAGTGTTGAACGCCAGAGCTCCTGTTAATTTTAAAAAAAGAAAAAAAAGAGCATTACGTGGGTGGTTGGTGGGTGCTCAGGTGTTGTTTTTTCTTCTTCCCTATGAAAAACATCTGTCCTGAGGACACCATACCGACATAGTTTCCTGCTGACCTTGCTATCAATCAGTCTGTGATTAGTTTCGTATTCTGCACCACACATGCATGGGTGACTCTGATGTCATTCACGTCTTTTCGTCTCATAATAATATAATTATCAATGAGGGTTACGAGCGCTCCAGTTTACCCCTTCACTGCTGAGGCCTTTCCACGGACAAGATGAAATTTACATTTAATTAAGAGATATTTAAACAAAGTCATAATATTTCCTCTTATCTTAGGAATGCACAACAGAAAAGTTGGTTTTACTTCTTTAACTCTATAACGTCCCGTATAAACCAGCACAAAAATGGCAGAGAACAAGTTTTGGAAAACGCAAGCGAGTGCAGAGTACATACGTCAACACAGCAATGCACATGTTAAATAGAACAACACCAAGACAGCTGCATGGAGGAAGGTACTCACTTCCGAGTCCTACGGTAGAGACCCTGCTGCCGACACTGAGAGGTGCGTTGTTTCCACCGGGTCCCATATCAAAGACCTGGGCGCGGACCACGTTGTCGAAGGTGAACACGAATCTCAGGAAGTTGTTGGGCTGTTGGTAGGGGAAATGAACAAAACAAAACAAAATGAATTATAAGGTTTGATTGTAAAGACAATATCATCATCATCATTATTATTATTATTATTATTATTATTATTATTATTATTATTATTATTATTATTATTATTATTATTATTGTTTACTTCAGGCTCATATCCGTACAATTTAATTTATTTTGTAGCAGGCTGATACAACCTTACATGTCAGCGAAAACGAGGGTTACAACATGCCAGCAGACTGATGATGCTGCTGCTGCTGCTGCTGATGATGATGATGATGAGGAGGATGATGATGATGATGATGATGATGATGATGATGATGATGATGATGATGATGACTATAGCAAGGATGATGCTCGCTTACCGAGGCGTTGACGTTGAAGTTGAAAGTATCCACAGTGCCAGAACTGCCAGTGGCACTGACCACAAAGTTAAAGTTGTTGATGGAAGCTGCGTACCGAGAAGAAGACAAAAAGGAATTCCATGAAACACCAAACCTATTCAAAGAAATCACCACGTTGTATTAAAAATGAATAGTGTTGAAATCGGAGATAAATACTGGAACACAAAATGCCCTAGGGTAATAACAATTGCATCTATATAGCGCATACCACTCTATACGGCCTGTTCTATGCGCTTTATAATGTATCTCGTACAAGTATAATCTTATATGAAACACATATACACTACTTCCATATAACAATAAAAGTACAATCACGCAATCATAGTACACACAAAATACATCTCGAACACACAAACACACACACACATACACACACACACACACACACACACACACACACACGCACACACACACACGCACACATTCATACATGCAAGAAAACACAGACACAAAACACACACATACACATACACACACACACACACGCACACATACCCACACACACACACACACACACACACACACACACACACACACACACACACACACACCAAAGCACACAGACATACGCACATGATACAGACGTTCACTGACAAACTAATCAAGGGGACTTACCGTATGTGACTTTAACTGACACAGCGCCAGTGCTGCATACAGGGGTGTTTTGATCAAAAGAATTTGAGATCAAGTCGAAAGTCTGTCCTTGCTGTAAATAGATTAGGGGGGGGGGGGGGGGGGGGGGAGGGATAGCAGATTTTTAAAAGAGGATTTGGAAAAAAACTAATGAAAATGATTGTTATGCTATTTCATTTTAACTGTTCTGTTTTAGTTTCTTATATTTCATTTTTTAAACTGTTGCCTTTTCCCCCTGCTTATTCTTTCTTGCATTCCTCGCATCAGTCTATTTACTTAACACCCTCTCCCCCAACTTCTTTTCCTTACCCTTCGATTTCTTCTTTTGTTGGTCTATCTATCTATCTATCTATCTATCTATCTATCTATCTATCTATCTATCTATCTGTTCGTATAACACCAGATCTCCTCAATCTATCTGTCTGTCTAAACACTCGACCTGAACACCGCTGGGTCTGAACACGACAGTCATCGCCACAGGTGAGCGCAGTTCGTTGGAGACGTAATAGTAGCTGTAGATGTATGGGGAGCTTCCAGGGGTGACACTATAAAGACAAAACAAAAAAAAGTTGCGTATATTGGTGTTTACTATAATATCATACATTGTATGGTATACATTTTATTTCTTTCAATTCCCTGTAAGGGACACTTTTGATGCATAAATATCACATGCATGTACAAATACAAAGTTTTTCATCTGAATAGCAAATCACAAAATACATAAAGTTGTATCTAAAGATACCCCCCCCCCCCCGCTAAAAAAAGAAGCAAAAACCTCTACAAAATATACACACAACTATTCAGCTTAACCTTTTTCAACAGGCGCTCGTCAATTTTTGGGCATTTGGGGGTTCATTGTATCATCTTAAAGCTTGTTCATTTGTCTGTCTTTTGATTAAGAAAATACCCTTCCATTTTGAATAGAAGTCGAGATATATGAAGGAGGCGCGCGCGCGCGCGCGCGTGTGTGTGTGTGTGTGTGTGTGTGTGTGTATGTGTATGTTCGTGTGTGTGTGTGTGGGGGGGGGACTTCTGGTTTCAGGGCTAATGTTAGCGAGAAAATTGGCGCCAAAGTTTTGTCAGTAAAATCCACACACAAATGTGTTATTAGATAGATATTAAAGGTGCTGGGAAAAAAAAAACCCCGATAAAAAATGCCAAACCGGCGGGAAAATGACGTATGAAATTGATTTCATTATTTTGACAAGCTCCTGATTTTTACCAAGATGGCGTCCTATATTATTTCATCATGAAAACCGGGACGGCCAGCTGCCAGTTCTTAAGTAAATGTGTTATACACCCTAAACCACTAGGCTACAGGTGACATTTAAAAAAATCTTTTTTGGTAAAAAAAAGTAAGGGTAGATTACTCACGAGAGGGTAGCTTCGTTGTTGAAAAGATTCACAGCGTTGAGAAGAAAGCCGTCGCTTACTTGGTAGGGAGTGTTGTCCTTGTCGGAGAGAGCAACGAGCTGAGAGCCGCTGAAATCAACACGGAAGGAAGCACGGCAAAGGGAGTCTGAAAAGAATTTCAAAGTGAACCCATCGTTAACTTTGACCTCTCCTCAACACTTTGCTACCTTAGAATTACAAAATTCTATCTGACATTTTTGGCGGTTATCAGTTTCTAAGACCAAGAGATTAGAAACCATATTATGCTCTATCTCTTCTAGCAAAATCGTAAGATTATTCAGGAGTCGTTATCAAGGTATTCAAAGAATTGGATTAAAAAATGTTTGACATGCTGTGAAACTCAAAACTTTTGACGTCAGATTTCTCAAAACGAAGAACCGTACTGAGCAGATAGAACGTTGTAATTCTAAGGTAGTAGCGACTTAGAGAAACGCCATGTGTGCTGCAGCAGGTAGGTCGTTCACCAGCGCAGGAAGTATATAATATGAGCTCAATTTGATTCCTGCAAGGGGATGTCGCTTCACAGAGTGTCACCGCGTTTCTGCCGGGATGCTATATCGGGAGGGGGTGCGGGGGGGGGGGGTGCTCCAGTGGCTAAGTGAGTATGTATTTTTGAGGGGTACGTGTTTTACGGCACCAGCAACTGCCTAAGGCCATATGACGGTGCATAAAACACATTAAACATTTTCAGAAGTTAAGAAATTTTGTATATTGCCCGGTTGGCGGCGGAAGCCTTCTCTTATCGATTTTACACCACCAAGGGATTTTTAACGTGCGCCACTTGCTCATGGGACCTCCAAGATTTTTCACCCATGTCCGAGAAGGCCAGGTGTAGATCTTTCCTTCCAGAAGATCAGGGGTGTGACTGAAAGACAGCAGTAAGAAGGAGCCAAGGAGTAGCAGTAGACCGGCTGCAGAAAGAGTCAGGAGCGCAGGGAAGTGGGAAAAGGAGGGGACAGGGTGGGGGTAGAAAGTAGAGACGAAAGCAAACGACAGAACATTGCTAGAGAGCAGGAAAGGAGGTGAAAGGAGACCCAAAAAATGAGAGAAGAATATTTTTCCTTCCCGACACGGATTCGAACCCGGGATCTTTGAAAGAGAGGCGAATACCTTAACCTCTAGGCCTCAAGAGCCCCCTAAGTGAGTAGTGAGTTTAGACTCAAGAGTAAAGTCAAGTAAGAGTCGGTGACACGAGGATCAGATGTGTGGTCACCGGGGCGTGTCCTTCAGCAAGACACGACAACAAAAACTAAAAAGACTGTATGTTTGCCATTGTAAACCAAATCGCCCTTCCAAGAGAAACAGAAATGTAGTTTATTTATTTATTATATACCCCCACCCTGTTGAAGTTGGCCAGGAAGGGCAGCGTCGAAGCAACCCACCTCCTGAAGAAACTAAATTGTGTCTGTCGGCCCCAAAAACACAATTAGTTAACATGAATATCCCTAGCTAGGCTCTACCTTTATTATCAATCCTGAGATCAAGAAGATTACCGGAGATGACTGTGATTCCAGACTGATGTCGATGAGGATGTCAAACGGTTATAATAACCCATCTTTATTTTTGT